GGGCAAGTTGATTGCCAAACATATTAATTTGAGCATCTGTCATGCTGACAAACATATCAATCGTGTCTGGATCTCGTCCTACTCCTATAGTTTTAGGCTTAGGTTTTTCCTTAACAGCAAACTTAAAGCCAGTTACCGAGCGTCCTTGCTTGATTGGCATATACTCGATGCTAATATCTGTAACCGCATTGATTTCTTCCATAGCATTTTTTAGCACCCTGCGCTTCAGATTTCTCAAATCTCTATATGAGTCTGGTAGTCCAAACTCCGAGAACATTTGATCTAGCGTCAGCTCAAAGCCATTTTTAGCCTGATTTTTTTTAGCTAAATGATAGAAATCAATCGAGTAATCTTTCTTTAGCTTTAAAACCACATCTTTTTTATACCGTGTATAGGGGTTATATTTATCTAAAATTTTGAGCATAACCAGCACTATAGATGTAAATCTCAGGGATACCCCTGCGTCCTCATAAGTGGCATCAATAACCCAATTTGAATAAACTTTTTTACCTCTGTCATTTGTATATGAGAATGAGCGATCAATTAATTTTCTCGATGCTATCTCAATTTGCTTATAAGCCGAGTTGAGTTTTATGCCGCATTCTTTAGCGAAATCATCTGCACGAATTAAAATTTCATCTTGTTCTGAGGCATCAATATTTCTGGCTATAGGTGAAGCCATAATGAGTAGCCGCTTTTCATCTACGCTCATGCTTTTAAAACACTCAGTAACTTTGTTTTGAATTGCTACAGTGCTTAAGGGGTATTTTTTTTCTTCAAAATCGGTCATTTAATCACCTAATTTAGAGTAAATATTTACATGATTTTTGTACCCTATTATCAATAGAGATATGAATTTGATAGGCATACCTTAGCATGAAAAACAATAAAGGGTACAAATATTTTTTTGTACCCTTTTACATGCTATTTGTACCCTTTAATCATGCTATTTGTACCCTTTTAAGCTCTGAAATCATGCTATTTGTACCCTTTTACATGCTATTTGTACCCTTTTAAGCTCTGAAATCATTGCTACATAAGGGATACAGAGGAGCGAAAAGCTTTTAAAAGCTTTTTAAAAGATTAAAAAGAGAATCAAAGGCAAAATCAAAGGCTATGGCACT